AAACAAACAAACAAATAGAGAATATGCAATAATGGTTGGCACTCTTTCTTACCTAACAGTGTAGCATCACTAAGGGAATGGGTTTTTTTTTTCTACATTCCCTTGATCTATCAGTTTTGCTTAATGAGCTACAGCCAGGCCTCGGATAGGGCCGGAGCGCCCCGGTACGGCGCTCAGGGAGTGAGGCACCGGGGGGCGGGCACATGGCAAAGCCCCGCCCCCTGCTTCCAGCCACCCTCTGCTTCCAGCCTCATTCTGTTGCAGAAGGAGGCAGAAGCAGGAGGGTGCATTACCTTCCTCCCTGCCCTGTCCTAAATCTTCCCGGAGCCACGTGCTCCGGGAAAGATCTCCCCCCCGTTTCTTCCTGCCTGCCTGGGGCTGCTGCACGCAGCCCAGGCAAGCCTCCCCCAGCCCCCCAAGCCCCATCCTCCATCTTCCCGGAGCCACATGCTCCGGGAAAGATCTCCCCATCCCTTCCTGCTTCTTTTGGGCCGCTGCACGCAGCCCAGGCCAGCCCCCCCAGCCCCGTCCTCCATCTTTCCGGAGCCAGCGCTCCGGGAAAGATTGCTCCCCCCATCCCTGCCTGCCTCCCTCGGCAGATCCTTAAGCATTAGGATATGTTGCTGGCAAGAAAGATCAAGATAATTCACACCATTACTATGTACAGATGTGAAAATTGAACAATGAAGAAAGCTGACAGAAGAAAAGTAGATTCATTTGAAAAGTGGTGTTGGAGGAGAGTTTAACAGATAATGTGGACTGCCAAAAAGATAAATAAGTGGGTTCTAGATCATATTAAGCCTGAAGTCTCCCTAGAAGCTAAAATAACCAAACTGAGGCCATCGTATTCTGGTCACTTTAGGAGAAGAGAAGACAATAATGCTAGGAAAAATTGAAGGCAGCAGGAAGGGAAGACCCAGCATGAGATGGATTGACTCCACCAAGGAAGCCTCGGTCCTCAGTTTGCTCGACACGAGCAAGGCTGTTAACAATAGGGTGTTTTACAGGTTGTTAATACATAGGGTCACCAAAAATCAGAAGTGACTTAAGCGTATACTGATCCGCTATGGAGCAGATCATCACTTTCCTTGCTTAAAGGAAGCCCCTCCTTTCAGGGTTTGGCGAAACAAGTAGATTTCTAAAAAAAAATTGTAATATGTATGAATGGAGAGCCCAAAAACTTCAACATATAATATCCCAGTCTCTCTGTAAGCACTTTTTTATGGCTTTTGAAGTTCTGGGACTCATAAAAACCCAATGACATATTAATTAGCAGACTCAGGTAATCTTTATCATGGAAAGAATGAAAACTAGATAATTTTCATAATTGTCACAGAGTATATTTCTAGACATCCACCACTGATAATTTTCATGATGCTAGAAAAGACTAACATGGTGCCAAACAAAAACAGGAATAGACAGTCCATATAGCCACACACAGCAGTGCCGTCATCATTACAATGTTGGTTAACCATTCCTTTAGAGGTCTCCATTTTCTTCAGGGGTACAAGACAGAAATAGCTACAGCTGGTCTTTCACAATACTGTAGTGAGGACTAAACTACATACTTTCTCTAGAAGCCATTACATAAATTTTAAAGAATACTGTGGGCTCACAAACATGATTTTACACTTTATTATGAACTTTTAAAATGTATCACATATCACTGAACTGCAATAAAATGTGCATATTTCACTTAGATATAATTATCCCCAGAGTCTCTGGATGGGCAGGGAGCAGAGGAAATTTTTCTGGGACTGTCCCATTCTAGCCACATGCCTGAAACAGACTTCCTTTCTCTGATAAGTAGTTTAAGGGTAGAGGGGGAGTTTACAAAAGTTGCTGATAGCTGAGTCAGGCATACCAATCCTAGTGTTGGTACAAGAAGAAAATTATTCCCATGCCACAGTGGTCTCTGTTGCACCCAGTTTGTTCTAGTGAAACATTCACACTTATAGACGGGAATTTTATTTGATGAGGAAAGGGATGGCACGTTTGATTCAACAGACTGCGGACCTTTTATGAGTTCTGTGAACATAGTGATGCAACACCTGTACTGCTGCTACAAGAGACTTTAAGATAGCTAAATGATGGGAGTTAAAGAATTGATAGGAATTGAAGAATTTAATTTAAAGGACGAGTGGTACAAAGAAAAACAGTAATTGGTTGTGCCTGTAGAAGGGCTGCCACCTCCTACATTATCCAGTCCACCAGTTAAGATCTGCCTCACAACCCATGATCTTAGTGTCTCTGACTTCAAAGAAGAAGTGGATGATAACCAGAAACAAGACTTTTTCAATCATTTGTGTCAGGAGATTTTTTTTTCTTCTCCTTCTAGTTAACTATTTAGTCCAAAAATAGCTCTTAGAGAATCTGGAATACTTGTCCCCAAACAGTATCTGAATGAAAAGTGACACAAAGTTCTCACTGTACTTGCAGAGGCTGCCCTTCCCCCAATCCTGTCATTTTATTTACATTGGAAAATTTTGGGGGCTAGGTCTCCCATTTACCCACCCAAGGTAGGGAATGATTAGCCCCAGTCCCATTTTCCTGTCTCTGAGTAACTGAGGAGCGGGAGAAAAATATCATCAACATAGTAACACTGTAAGAATTTCCCTGAGTTTATAAGGTAAGGAGGCTTTTTGGGGGGAAGTAGGCTAGAGCATCACCAGCAAGCAACATCACATCCCTCTGCCCTGCCCAGGCATTGCCCTCCCAAATCTCCCAGCATTGTGCTGAGGCAGCTGTGGGATCCCCTATTCATGGCAAGAGTTTTTTCTTCTTGCTTATTTTACTTCTCTAAAGCACTATGTACATCAGTTACACTTAGGGTTGCCAGGCCTGGGTTGGGAAATACCTGGAGATTTTGGGGTGGAGCCTGAGGAGGGTGGGATTTAGGTAGGGGAGGGACTTCAATGGGGTATAATACCATTATGGGTGTCTGTTTGGCTAAATCTGAGCTGAAAAAATACCCAGAAAATACCTTATCATATTTTTTTTGATATTGTTTCAGCTGGATACAGATTTGGGGTAGTGTTCAGCTATCCAAAATAGCCAAGCCCTGAAAATCCTGAAAATATTTGGGATTTTTGGGGCCACCAGATAGTCAAATTTAAAGGGCATTAAGGGATCACAGTCCCTCTAAATGCCTTCTCCAAGTCACACAACTCCAGGGCTTGCAGTCCCTTTAAAAGCCTTCCATGTGAACTCACCGCTTGGAGGTGTTTAACATGACTGCAATCCCTTTAAATGCCTTCAGAGTTCACTTGCCATGGAGTTACATGGCCTGGAGAAGGCATTTATAGGGACTGCAATCCCTTTAGATGCCTTTTTTCCTCAATTGAAAAAAATGGAGGATGGGGGCACCTTCTTTGCGGGCCCACAGAATTGGTCCAATCTTTTGTCATGGGGGTTGAGGAGAGGCACCAGCCCCCCACCCCAGATACCCCCAGATCAACTCTCCATTATACCCTATGGGTACCATTGACTGTAATGGTCCCCATAGGGTATAACGGAGCTGAAAAAATGTGGGTTTCCTGAATATTTCCCAAATCTGAATACCATACTGGTATTGGGATTCAGGAATATTGGGAAATACTGCTTTTTTTCAGTTCAGTATACCAGAACCCAAAAATTACCCAGTGGGTTTTTTGCATACCCCTAGATACCATAGATTCACCTTCTGAAGTGGCCATTTTCTCCAGGAAAATTGATCTCTGTCACCTGGATATCAATTGTAATATTAGGAGATCTCCAGCTACCACCTGGAGGCTGGCAATCCTAATTATAGTGAGTACATAAACAATTCTTTTCCCCCTGAAGGGAAAGTATATATTGTAGCTCATTTTCTCAGCGAGAAGAAAAACATTAGAGACACAAGTGTAACTATATATTACAAGTGTAATTATATATTGCAGTAGGCCAGTTGGGAGAAGAATGTGAGACGTTTGGTAGGAAAGGCTCTCATAGCCTTGAAGTTGATTCACACATTATAGGGGCCAATTCACACATTATGGAATGCACAGTAAGGGTCTAGGATCTCCACTGTGTGTAATAGTTCAACAGCAGTTGCAAGTTTGCCTCAGTTTTCACATGAATGGTACAATCAAGAAGGGGCTTTGTAGTCCCTCTGTGCCATTTTCCATTCCTGAAACTGTCTAGTGAGGGGCCATTTGGAACATTCAGAAAACCTCCATATTTCTTGGAATAGGTTTTCTCAGTGGGCCAAATAGCAGCCCACTAGTGCCATTTCAGGTTAGGAAAATGATGCAGGGGAAAATGCTGAAGCTCCTTCTCCAAATGCACTATATATTCATCTGGAATTGGATACTGACTTGTGCAGCAATTGTGGAACCTGCAATTCATGTCTGACTGATATGCAGGATGGGAAACTGAGACCCAACCTGTGTACTTTATAATGTGTGAACCTCAAGATTCCTCTCCTAGGCAAACAGGACTGAACCTCAGGACAAGTTTATCTTTAGGTTTTTGCTGGATTCCCCAAAAGAAGGATGAAAAGTTACCATACATTGAGCCATACTCAGTGTTACATTACTTATCATGGTTGAAGTTTCATTTCCCTGAAAAATATAGGGAGACAAGATGTTCCCTACTGAGACGTTGTTCTTCCTCCATTGGAACACAAGAAAAGGCTAGGGGAAAACCAGTCCCAAGTACCTCTATATCCCCTTTTTTCCTGTTCTATATTAATCCAGAATCTGAGACAGGGTTTGGACTGCTTTTCAGGAAGTCTGAAGGTATTCAAATGAATAATTAGATTATGCAAAATTTATTTATGGAATCCAGCAGTTGTGGCCTCCTCTAGTTTATCTCATTTTTATCCCACTCTGGAGAGTTCATGTGATGTATGTGGTTCACCACTCTTCTGTTTAGGCAATACTAAGTATTTTGTAACATTAAACAAATATTATAAGACACGAGAAGTAGAGTGTAAAAATATGTATAAAATCATGTATTGTGCTATTTTCTCCTTGTTGCAGTGATTCGAGCAAAAATTTCCAGTGAAAAGGTGGTTCCAGCCAATGATGACCCTCTTGACACTCACAAGATGATCCAATATGAAATCAAACAAATCAAGGTAAATGTAATCATTTGTTTATTTAGAGGCAAATTAACAATATTCCATTTAGAATGGCTAAAGAAGCAGTACTGCAAAAAGCTTTAGAACATTCTTAAGATCCTGTAAGATCACTGGGATGATCTTGTGCCAATCACTTTCTTTCAGACTATCCTACCTCAGAGAGTTAGTATGAGAATGAAAAGGAGGGGGAAGAATCATGAATGCCACCCTTGGAGACAGAATTTGTTAAATGTAGGGTGAACAGGTTTTTACAGTTTCTCTTCATCAGTGCTGTATGGTTCTATAAAGCACCCTACAGATGGGGACTCTTCAACATTAGACAAAAGACAATTACTCTGATGGAGCGTATCTGATACCAGATCATAACAAGCTTCATGGATCAAGTATTGTCTCATATATTTTTTCCATTAATGATAAATGACCAATCAGCATTTCCTCCTTCTTTTTAAAAACAGAAATATAGTCAGACTGCTGAGAATTTCACCATAGCAGCAGCACTAAGGAAGAGCTACTTAATCCTTTCAGTGTTCTAGGCACTTCTTCCTTTTTTTTTTCTATGCCAGGGAGAGTATGGCACCTCAGCAGAAAGGATTCCTACATTTATTTCCTAAGTGTGCGTTTTTTGATAGCAAAAATGGCCCCTAGATTAAATGTTAAGCATCCCTTCCCCACTGTCATGGGCATATCCCCACCTGCATGGTGAGGAATTGTTTATGGATCTTCTGTTGTCATCAGATGTACTTTTTGCTTGAGTTCACGGTGAATTCCTCTGAATTTATTGGTCTTAAGTATAGTTTGGAACTTCTAAAAATGGCTATTGGGCCAACTGCCTGCTAGGACAAGTCTGAGTTGTTATAGTCAGAACATCTTTTTCAGATAGTTGAAATCTTTCAAAAGATACTTGTTGTCTACTTGAACATGGTGGCTACACCTTCTTTTCCCTTCTCTGGAAACTGATTTTGTCATATCTACTTTGATTCTAGACATGCTTGCAAGAATTTAAACTATTTTATCAGATTGTTCTTTTTTCTTTTTTTAAACTGTTGATCCAACTTGATGCTTTATTTTGGTCATAACAGCATACAGTTTTTGTTTTATGAACATAACATTTTAGTTTTCCAGTAAACACAATGATAACTACAATTCCGTGTATATAATCATAGGAAAGAAAATTAACATATAAGGATATACTGAATAACTAGTTCATGACAAATTGATCAATTGTTTTCCTATTATTAATTTTAGATTCTTTTGACAACATTTATATTATGTGCATGCACTTTTTAACAGTGGCCAGACATATTTGCAAGAAATTTGTAGATTTTGTTGATTTTGCTGTGCCTTTGGGGAAATTGATTCAGAAAGCTTTCATTGTACTGAATCCCTGATGTGTAGGGATGGAGCTGGAGGAGGGCAGGATTTGGGGAGATAAAGTTTCCATCCTAATGGGGGAAAAATTGTAAATCAGCAATGACAATGGAAGGAAGAAGTAAACATCTTGCATTAGAATGGCAATAAATTTTGTCTAGCTTATGTTATGATGAACACAAGAATACAAGAAAGTGTCTTGTACTGAGGCAGATAATTTCTCCTGAGGTTACTACTGCCTGCTTTAACTGGCAGTGGCTCACCAAGGTTTCAGGATGGCAGCACACAATTTAGGGTAAAGGTAAAGGTTCCCTTGCTCGAAAGCCAGTCGAATCTGACTCTAGGGTTGCGGTGCTCATCTCAGTTTCAAACCCGAAGAGCCAGCGCTGTCCGAAGACGTTTCCGTGGGCATGTGGCCGGCGTGACTAAACACCAAGGCGCACAGAACGCTGTTACACAACTTACTTGCTGTTTATTTATGAAACTTTCCATGGAGTATGCTAATAAAATATTACATATATCATCCAGCCATACTAATCCTCTTGGGACATTTGAACATTAAGGCTGCCTAACACTGTCACCACTTATCATGATGTAATCTTCCTTTATGGAGGGATTTCCCAAGTTTTTAGAAGGTGCTTAGAACCTTGTTTTATTTCAGTTTTGAACGTAATATGCACTGGTCGGGTTGTTTTGGAGGGCTTTTTTTTGCATTTAACAAGCATTTGTTTAAGCAGTTTGTTATATCAGTGATATTTGAGAAGCATTCTAAATCTGAAGCACTGCATGGAATTACAGCTGGGCCTCATATTGACATTATGCTTGGGACATTATTCACATTTGAATGAATGCTTATTTTGGGAACACATATAAACAATGAAAAGTTCAGACTTACAAGCAGATGTGCAGTCATACAAATAAGTTGCCTAAGAAGTTTTCATGCAGAGTTATCGGGTAAGACAATCCTCAGAGGAAAAGAGGCCAATGATGCATGAATATTATTTAGAGTTAATGTCATAATTGAAACAGTGGTGATGTCACTTTACCACTCATGTTAAAAATAGTTCAGTATAATTTTAGAGGCCTAACCTGGATGGCCCAGGCTAGCCTGATCTTATTAGATCTCAGAAGATAAGCAGGGTTAGCCCTGGTTAGTCTTTGGATGGGAGACCTCTCAGGAATACTTGGGTCGTGACACAGAGGCAGGCAATTGCAAACCAAATACTCTTGCCTTCAAAACAGCTATGGGGTCAGATATGTCTTGATGGCACTTTCTACCACCACTATAACTATAATTTGGAACTCAGCCTTAAATAACTGGCAAGCTAAGTCAGCAAATATTTATTTGTGTATGAATCATGAAAATTAGGACTTTGTTCATGGCTTCTAGACAAGGTCATGGGTCCTAGTCTGACACTTTAACCACTGCACCCAGAGGTCATTTCGGGGGGGGGGATCGCAGTTCCCCCGGGTGAGGTACGGGAAGCGGGGCACATGACAAAGCCCCGCCCCCTGCTTCCGGCCCTCATTCAGCCAGGAGGAGGCAGGAGAAGAGGGAGGGTAAGTTGCGTCCTCCCTGCCTCTCCCCACCCCTGCCTGCCTGGGGCCAGGGAGGGCCTTCGCGGGGCTCGGCAGTGGAGCTGCAAGGCCGGCGGTGGTGGCCGGGACCGTTGGGGACGGGGTGTGTGGCCTTATGACACACTTTCGGTGATGTCAGGGGGTGTGACCTTATGACACACTTCTGGTGATGTCAGGGGGTGTGGCATATGCTAATGAGTTATGCTAATGAGTTCCCCTAGCTCTTTTTCTATGAAACAACCCCTGACTGCACCACACTGGCAGGCATAACTCATCAAAGAATAAAGATAGGAGACTCAGAATTGGCACCAGCTTCAGGATGATTGTGGGAGTCACATGGCCAAAACTGAAAG